AGACACACGGATGGTATCCCACTGAAAGAGACATAGAATATCGTATCAATTTATTGGGGCTGGCGGGTGTCAACCACGAGATAGGAAATATCTTGATGATAACATGAGTGCCTGAATCAGGTAAAATCAGGATTAAGATATTCTACAGAGCTCAACAAAAATTTAGTTCAGTTCCCCTTTGATCTTGTCTAAGACACGTGCCTTGCGAGGCGTCCCTGATCGTAGATCGTTTAGAGTTAGCAACACCTCCCTAAGGTAGCTATTCTTGAGCACCAAGTGCTGTTGATCCACTAAATCGCTAGGTCCCCTGGAAAGAGACCTTAAAATTTAAGATTGTTGACTCATCTATTTCAATTCTTTAGAACCAACTTGCTCGTCGAGCGATTATTCTGCCTCTGACCTAAGGAGATGGGTAGCTCTGCTACGAGAGACGAAGAATGATACATACTTTTAGGAATGGGCAAAGTTTGAAGTGAAGAAGACGTGGATGCTCGTGCAGTCAAAGATGCTGGTTTAAATTTGCAGGAAATTGTGATGTCATATCAGACATCAGACGGTGACGCAGTTGGTAGCATGCAGAAGTTTATGTGCTATACGAGCAACGGTGAATGCGTGCGTTGGACGGCTGTAAGTAGCTCGGAGGAGGTTTGTGTCATGTCCATCGTGACTAAAAAAAGTAATTATTAACTTTAATGAAGCCGTAACAAGGTAGTCGTAGGGGAACCTGTGTCTGGAAGAGATCTTAAAACATTCTTAAATTAATGTTAACATGTTAGAAAAATAGTTTAATTGGTAAAATCATAGTCTCCAAAATTGTTTCTATGGGTTCAAATCCCATTTTTCCCGAAGCAAATTGTCGAGTACAGATGCTTTGTTGAAAAAACGCAACTAATGGTCGGATGCTGGCGAGTATTTTGATCGTCTCAAGACTGGCAACCACATTTTGTCATCGAGGAAATCGCGTTGTGCGACATCATTAATAATCGTTTAATAGATTATCCTTCTCCAACAAATTTAAATTATTTTAATGGATTGTGTTCATGTCCGTCACCGATCCGTACCATTTAGCACAAAAATCTGAAGAAGACTGGCACCCGCTAGGGGTCATGGACTGCCATCCGCGCAATAAATAATTTCAACGATTTCGTGCTTGAAGTTGAAGCTTGAATTGAAGAAGTGCGGGAAGCCGTTCTCCGATTGTTTACTTTAGCGAACATGAGAAGGCTGTCGAGATGTGGCATATGTATTACAAGTGTTACCAGCAATTAACGATGATCCACAAGAAGTCTACAATAACGACGAAAAAGATCGTTGTATTATTAGTTACGAAAGAGGTTAAGTCTACAACTTTTACGATCTTCCTTAGCTCGAGCAACAACAACGAAAAAGATGATGACACAACCAACATAAAGATACCTACAAAAAGTAAGATGACGAAAACGAACCGACAGCAGCGAACTAGGCGGTCGCCGTTACTGCTGAGAAATCACAGTTTTATAAATCAATTTTCCACCAAATCTTGCCATAATTTATCCAATTACAACGAGCGTACCCATCTTTGACGGGAGCACAATAGTCGATGCACAAATAAAAATATTGGGTAAGCATACGTGAAAAGAAGTATGACAAGAGTACGCACAGAAATAATGGGAGTGCATTCGTTGGACAACAAATTGTTAATGACAAATGAAATCCTCTTTCTGTACGATTTAGAAAGACTACTCGCGATAGATCAATAAAATTATAATGGGAGACGCCCATTCGTTATATTAAATACCTACGGAACGCTAATTCAAGAAAGCTGAATGTAAATAAAAGGTTGACCCATTAAGCAATCATATCCACGCTTCTAATTCAACCTAAGCAATGCTACCTTAGACCTACGTGTTTTTACTTGGTATCGCCCAATCTTAGCACCAGTGTAAATTTCGAAAACATGCGAGAATTGTTCGGCGTCTCATTCTTGCTAGGTATGCAAAATGATCGCTTCCATACAATGAGCCCAAAAAATAGCTAGACGGACAAAAATGAACTTGGTGACGCGCAAGATGTCTGCGAATACGCGACCTTTTCCTCATTTGATTAATTTTTACCTTAACTCTTTATGTATTAGGTATCATTTCCGATGGCGTTGACGTTGCTAAAGGTGTCACGTACTCCTCGGCAACTACAAATTTCGTCTCATCCTTCTTCACGGCTACAACAAAATTTAGCTATCCCTCAGTTCGTCCTGCTTTTTGCTGAGAGCAGCAGACGTCAAGTGGTTCCAAATGATGCGACGACGATCTTGCTGTTCAGGTGGATGTCACCAATTTGTGGCTGTCAAAAAGACGGATGCGATCAGCTAGTAAAGTGATGTAAATCGACCACATGGCCGAAAGGCATGCACAGCTTTCGTGGCGATTCAATGGCGTGTAGTGCCCTTGTGCAAACCAATTTTCTCCATAGTGTGCATCAGTTCCGCTCCTCCTTTCTATATCATCCATATCAAGATCGCCATTAACCTCGTCGTCTTCATCACCGCACGCGAATAGTCAGGAGTTATTTACTTTAGATCTATAGTTTACTTGTCGATGGAGTAGACGAGGAAGGTAGCGCTTATATCTTCCACCCTGCTTCACGCGCTCTTTGTAATTATTGGGAAATGTTTAATTGCCAGGATGAAAATTCTCAGGAGTCCGAGAACAGCAGATTAATTCTTATCCTTAACTAGTTCTTTTTTCTTGTCATATTCCTTCTTTAGAGCATATTACATTTCAAAGAGAACTTTTCGAGGAGCTCTAAATCGCGAAGGTCAAGGTATCGTACTTTGGTCGTACTCATTCAGTTTAACAGCAATCAAGCCGCGACACATGATAGTAAACAACTTCACTTGTGGAATATGGGGTAACTCAGCATCAATATTTGCTCATAGGATAAATAGGTAGAGCAGTCTTTTGTTTACAGGATAGAGCAAGACGCTGAGACAAAAGCGGTCCGACTAATTATATTTTCTTCGAAAGCGTAAGAAAATCTACTTCGTCACGATTGGCAGAGATTAAGTACTCATGGTAGGTCAAGAAGCGCTTTTGTGAGACTTTCTTATCTCCCACTATGCTGCGCCTCGGTTACCGTGTCCAGCAAAAAACTAAACACCTAGGGTTTCCACGCTCGTCGTCGTATGCGCGGATTTCCACTACAACTACCTTGATGGAGTCTATCTTCTTCAGCAGTAGATAATTAGCGAAATAATTGTCGAGTAAATTCCTGCCATTAACATTAAACTGTCGTTAGTAAACGGAGATAAACCGATTTACCACTGTCACGGAGCAACACTTTCACTTTACTTCTTCCTCGTTTTGCAGTCAGGCTCGAGTTTAGACGCAGCAAAACAATCTTGTTTGTTTGAAAAAGGTCGATGTTGTACATGCACGATTGTCCGTATGCAACGCGACAACAACCGTTTGCGGAAACTGCTTGTTTACGAGCGTCAACACCATTAGCTATTGACACAGCATACACGAGATATTCCGGCAGACCCCAACCAATACTACACCTTCTCGATCACTTACTCTTGCATCACCTAGTTATGCAGAAAGGCACCGTAAACTCAAACTCATTTTCCCTACCATCCTCATCACCAATCCTGTTTTTCATCCAAGTAGAATACATGAATTTTTGAATACGAAAGTGTCGTGCTAAGTGCGATTGCGCAAGAGCTCGCGGCACGACGATGGGAATGGCGGCCACTTACTCTGTGGTTGCATTGTACATACATTTTTTGACACAATATGCGGGATTTGCAGATTAAATAGGAAGAAATTGTGGCGAATAAAGAGTAGAAAGACATAACAAAACGTCAATGGCAAATACTTTCACTACAATGCTAGAGAGTGCTATGTCCATAATTAACAGGTTATGGGCCTAACAAGAGAGGGAAGAGCCTACTGCGATCGTCATTTCTACCGCTTACACAAAGAGCGTGGACTTTAAAGCGCTAGACAAGATTCTAGAAAAGATTTCCGGAATGAATGCAAGGATGCAGAAGGCGGAAGCCTCGCAAGCAAGGATTGACGAGGACGAGAGAATGCGCGGCGCTGACCAAAGTGGACTATTCGCTTTCATTCTTGGTGATTACGTTGCCAGCAACTTTCATCGCGGAGCTCTGAATATATCGGACCTTCGTGAACGGAATGGATCAGCAAAAGCTCGACGTGTGGGTTGAAGTATGATAAAACTGAGGAAGGGGGCGCTACGACCTGCGCAGCCACGCGCCGAGCCACTGCTGCATCCGCCGCCTCAGCTACCACCATACCTGCCGCAGCCGATCCCTTGGGCACCGACAGAACCACCGCAACAAGTTTTTGCGCCCACACACTACCGAACACTCGATGTAGGGCAATGCAAGCTTGCGATCCGCGATTTTGATGGCACCGAGGTGTTCGTCGGGATAAGTTCATTTTTTCGACTGAAACCAGACCTTTTGGCGCCAAGTAAATGTGGCCTAAGAATCGTGCGATTTTCTGTCTAGTGAGACTGCCAAGACCGACATGCTCGTACAGAATCTGACTAGTACCGCATAGCGTTAACTTAACAAGCAAGTTGACTCACGGTGGACTATGCTACCGATGCTGCAATAAGTGATGCAACGTATGATGGACACGTATAATACAAAGATCACAGAATCACAATCCATGAAATTGTTCACAACCAAAAAAGGGAACAAGCGGTCGTGGCCGGAGCACTAACTTAACCTAGTGGCTGCCAGTGACGCCGCAGGTGGCGCGGAGCAGCAAGTGCTGGACAACATTGCCAAGTATGATTCACTAGAGCTATCGACGATACTCATGGCCAAGTCTGACACGCATTGTAAATACTACCTTGTGCACGTGGTGTAGCTGGCCTACTTCGTTCAATCTATTGTGATTGAAGCTTGTACGGGACATTTTTTGCGGATAGGAGGTCGCGGCGCATGTGGATGAGTCTCAGCCACGTCAAGGCTGAATATTGCAGCAAAAGGAATGTTGACGCGAACAGGGGCCGTCGCGGCAGACGCGATGGCAACATGGTGCTTTCCGTTGGAGAAGGTAAAGGGCTTTCTTACCGTCAAGAATGACCTCGCGATGGCAATAGACGATGACAGTGACAATGGAGATGACGACTGGGTACTCGATAGTGGTTGAGATCGTCACCTCGTCAGCAACACCACACTCCTGATGGACGCACTATAATTTAATTAAGAGTGTCACCTTGCTGACAGTTAAACTTAATGGCTATCGCGGGTCGGGAACGTGGTGCTGACAGTACTAGCGAAAGGAAGGCGGAAAAATGCGACGTTAACAGGGTAAGTCTCGTGCACGAGCTGGTCCGCAACATCGTGACATACGGCAAACTCGAGCACACGAAGTTTGGCCTTGTTTACGATGTCACGACGAGCGGTCTGGTGAGATGACGGAAGGATAAGTTGCGTTCGGAGTGATGATGCGGCACAAGGTGCTGTACCTGAGGACGGTTTAGTCAGCACGCTCGACATAGACTCTAAACGTCGTGCTAACGGTAGTTCTGATGCGGGGAGAGTCGTCTGATCAGACGGATGCTGATTTGCAGATGGGCTTCCTACTACATTTACATCAGCTACTCGGGCATCTCGATTACGATAGCATCAATAGAATGTGTAAGGACCCAGCGTTCGGCATGTAACATTTGAATATTAAGCGGTCGACTTGTATCTTGTGCCCGTCGATAAAATTAGTGGAGTGACTTGATCGGATTTGAATGACCCGATAACGCCGAAGGACAGGGTCGAGAACCGTTCCCTTATGAGCGTTACAGATCACAAGTCTAACTACTGTCACTTCTTTTTGGCACATACGAAGTACAAGGCCCCGGAGATGTTTGAATACTTTCTGGCTTTCTTCGAGTGCCGGTATAACTGCCGTATCCGCGTGCTCCGCACAGACGGAGGTGACGAGTACGCGAAAGTTGACCTGTTCTGCAAGTCGACAGGAGCTGCGCTGCAAATAAGCGAGGCAATAAATTGGGCGCAAACGGCAACGCGGATCGCATGCACAGGACGGTGCTGAACATAGCACGCAGTATTATTTTTGCCAGTCTTCTCCCGGTGTCATTTTAAGGAAACGCACTTGAGTATGCTGCTTATGTACAACTGCAGTCCAGCTAGTGATAACGCAAAAAGAGCGTCGCCGATGGAGATTTTGACCGAGCACGCTCCCGACCTGCGTTATATCGTTGCTTCTGGATCGCTTTGCACGATTTAACGATACCTCGACGAGAACTCGCTAGCGCAACGGGCACAAGTTGGCGTTATCATCGCTCCCAGTGATGAGTAGAAGGGGTTCAGGGTGTTATCAAGAAGGAGATCAAGATCACAGTGACACAGCCCGCGCGAAATATTGAAAGCCTTAGTGTAGAGCAAAATGGTCAGCTCCAACGCGCACTTGGATTTGAAAATCAGGCGGTCGTGATAGACGCACCAGGCGCATCTACTACTGGAGCTTAATCAATGCCTGTGAAAAAATTCCTGCGAAAGATGAGGAAACTGTGCAAAAGTTGCGAGCCGGCAAGAAGAAGTCCAAATCCTGGACGCGTGCGGCCCACAGAACGCGCAAATCGACCAAGCGCACGCAGGAATTTGACGGTCAGAAGGAGCCAGACATAAAAGTAGGTGATTTATAAAGTGGTAGTGCATGTCTATAAGCACGACCCCGAAGAATATGAAAAGGCGATGCGCAGCTCAAAAAAAGGTCGGGATTGTGAAATGTAAGAGATAAAACAAGCTCTCGAGACTAATGTCGCATGGTGCATTATCAAGCGACCTAAAAGAAGCAACGTGTTGCACAAAAAATGAGCATAAAGTACGAAGACTTATGCCGACGGCCATCTTGAGCGTCTAATGGCAATAATTGTGGCGTGCGGTAACGAGCAGGTTTTAAAGTAGGCTACCAACTCACTCAGACATCCTCAACGCCTACGTAGAGGCTAATAAGGAAGCCCGCCTAGAGATCCTGCTTTATGTTTCACAGGAGATGAAGGTAAGCGATGAAACTCTCAAGACATTTAAAGCAACATAAATGAAGGAAGTCGTTCTTGAGTTAGACAAAAATATGTATGGCCTCAAGCATGCCGGACGAATTTGAATCCATTTTCTGCACACTAGACTGCTGGACGCTAGCTTGAGCAAGTGCTTTTCAGACATGCGTCAATAATGGAAGGTCAATGACGGCCAGATGGTCGTCGTGGGTGTGTACGCTGACGCCCGGCTGGCCACCGGAACCTACACAGCTGCTGAGGAACGTTTCTATATAATTAGCGTTGAAGCCTAAATATCAAGTACCTCGGTGTTGTGTTTAATTTTATTGGAATGCGCGTCGCAATGGAAGACAACGGCAGCTACGTGCTGGGCCAGTCGGAAGCAATAGGCGAGCTGTTGCGCGAGCTCAGTCTTGAAAACGCCAACAGCACGCAAGATCCGATAGGGTCTGACTGCTACAAAGTTACAATTAGAAGACTGCGCGCTGTTGGATGATAGCGCAGATGGTGGAGGAAAAACATTTTTGGACGTTCCAATTCCTTGTTGGCAGTCTTCTTTGGGTGGCTCGCTGCACACGGCCGGTTGTTTGCAGGTCATAAAGCAACGCGCCAGACCCACCAGCCACTTATGCACGACCTCAAACTTGCGAAACATATTGCGCGCTACCTGAAAAGTATGCTTAAATTTTAAGCTGTGCATGGATCCGGTGATGGTCCAAGATGGCGAGCTGCAACTTAGGTCCTTCTCGAACGCCGACTTCGCCCCTTAAAAACTGGATCGGAGGTCTCTTAACGGTGGGATCATTCGACTAAATAGGATGCCGGTTATCTGGACGGCGAAGAAGCAAAGAAGAGTCACGCTTTCCACCATGGAGGCGGAGTTTGTCGCTGCGTTGAAGAAAGCGCGTGAGCCTGCAGTCGCCGAGGCGCTTGCTAATTGAGTTCTACCTTGTCCAGGAGATTGCATGATGCTGAGCGGCAATCGAATCAAGGCGAGGTCGATGAGGTTTGACATGTGGAACGGCATTCCGAGTGAATACCAACTGTACTTTACAAAGAGGTGTCATCTGGAAATCCCAAGACTTCTCTACTTCTAGCAACCTATCTTTCACGGTTATATGCATGTGAACTCGGAGAAGAAACCCGCGCAGCACCACGCTATTTAAGTACACCTGAAAGGGATGTTGCTTGATATAAGGTACAACACGAACAAAACAGGATTAATTTACTGTACCTTGCGTTATGATAATTTCGTCCAACTAATATTGGAAGAATAGAATAATAAACTACTAGTTTAGTGGTCACTCTGTTGTGCAACGCTGACGGATTTAAGAAACTCGAGCTGTTCCATCATTGATCACGCGAATAAGCCGCGCTTTTTAGTAGTATGCTAGAATAATTTGGTTTCGAATATCACATCAATTACTAGGCGTGAATTATTAGCACTCCATTCCATAGTAAATGTGCAGTCTAATCATGAAAAAAGGGGGGGGGCAAAAACATAGCAAATGGTATAGGAGCTCGTTAAACCTGTAGCGATACAGCATCAAACGCTTAAACTCGACAAACCGAGTTGGTTTGGCGAAATGTGCTAGTACGTTTAGATAAAATCCCTTCAAGGTTGGCTCCTTCGGATCACTTGTGGCTTTCGCCTGACGGATTCCTTGCAGCCTATTTCTCTAAAAGACTGCCTGAGTTCAGGATTTTGTATTACTCACACTCCTGTGACTCACAATAATGGACAGATGTCGGAGTTTTATCGCTTTTACAGGTCACCGAGCGCAATTTACGCTCGACTAGATGAATTACGTTGTCCTTGGTAAAAGATTCACCGGATCGTCGCTCGAAGAGTCTGAATGCAGTGCCGCCGATTGGGTCACTGGATCGCCGCTCGACGAGACTCGTGTGTGTCATCTGTTGGGTTTACCGGCTCATCGTCGACGAGGCCTTAGCAATACCATCTATTGGGTTGACAGGCTTGTCGCCGACGAGGCTTTAGCGATAATATCTATTGCGTTGACCGGCTTGGCAATTAACAAGACTATAGCGGTATCATCGATTGGATTCATCATCTTGCAGTCGACAAAGCTCTTTCTTTTGCTGAAAGCGAGAATCACCCACCTCGGGCCAGCGTAAATTCTTAATGATTCCAGTCGAAGCCTCTACAAGCTATGCTTCTTGAGGTTCGACGGCAGGCATTATCCAGACCGCGCAGGGACTAATCGGAAGATTATTCGCTACACTAGAAATTTGAAAACTTTGCTGTTAATTAAGATATCTCTTTTTCTGATAAAAGGATCCTATAGAAGGGCTTTCATTCTTCCCACTACTTCCGCCGATCAATTACCTAGTGACTTGAATGATCGATCTTCCAGCCACTTTGCTGGATTTGAAACTCGACGAGTCTAAAATGGACGAGCCTTAACTCAACGAGTCTTATCTCGACGATTATTGGCTTTTAGAATCATCTAATTTGAGAGGTACACCGTCAATAATCGCTGCACCACAAAGATTGTTCTGCCTATTGGAAATGCATCATGAAAATGCCTCATATATGTATACGGATATCTTGAGAGTCCTGCTATTCTCACCAAACAAGACCTCGAAGCTGCAGCTCATGGACGCCTGTATCACCACACCGTTTAAGCTACAACACCAACATCGCTAGATATAGCACGCTGTGGATGTGTACAAGGTTTGCTACCAAGATCTACATGCTAGACTAGATTACGGCGATGAATTGCATTAAATTTTCTAGGGTGAATTTTTGAAGCTATTCTTCACTAATTCTGTCACCAGGGGCTCGTCCTTACTCATACGAAGACTCGCGGATCACGAGTTGACGCGTATGACTAATCGAATACAAGTGTAGTAATGAAACTGTTTTGGCTACACATCTGCAACCCGATGGACCTGGACGGCATCCCTTTTTGTACGGCAGAGACCAACACAGAAATGGAATCACAGACTACTGTATCAAAAAGGGGCTTACCCTCAATCATGTTTACAACCCAAGGTAGCATCAAATTGACATAATTGAAGTCGACCACCAAAGTAGTAATGGGCACATAGCCGGAGAACAGCCTCGAGGACAAGGTAGAACCACTTCGAGTCATCATTTTTCTTGGTGTAC